AGGTGGAAGGCTGCCGGGCAGGGGCTCCTGCCTGTGGGGCTCTTGGTCTCTGGGCTGGGCAGGGCCGAGAGAGAGGGCCCGCCACCCTGGGCGGGGACTCATCATTAACAGCTAGCGCTTCTGTAGGGGACGGGACAGTGCCTCCCTAACCATCGGCCCCATTATGAGGCTGTCCCCATAGGTGACAGGCAGGCCTGGTTCCCAGGGAGCCCAGCCTGTGGGGTGGAGCATTTTGCACACCATGTTTTGCATAGCCAGCAAGAGGTTTTGGTCTGCCACGGACACGAGGGAGTCGTGTGGTCAGATGGGGCTGGTGTGGTGGAGCCTGAGCCCTGCCAGTGCTCCCGGGTCCTCATGGAGCCACGGGGTGTGGGGCCGTTCCCATGTCTGTCTAAGGGGTCTCATTTGCTCTGAAAGCCCCTGGATAGATGCGCCAAGGGTCCTGTGCTGGGAAACACTGTCCCAGAAGGGGCCTGCGGAGAAGCAGTTTCTTCCGTTCCCCAGAGGGCAAGACGGTGGTGTGTTCAGTGGTTAGGGCTGAGGCTTGGGGTACAGACTCCCTGGATTGGGATCTCAGCTCTGCTGAGATCGAGGAGGAGTGGGAGGCTGTGTGTGTGGGAGTCATTGGGTAAATTATCTGGTTTCTCTCTGCCTCAGTTTCTTCATTTGCAAGACGGGGACCAAGATGGCTCTGCTGGGTGTTTGGAGAAGACACAAAGACTCTGAACGAAGCCCTTCAGCAGTGCCTGGCAGGAGAGGGAGCCTTGGCGTGGTGGCATCGTGTACGCTGCACAGGCACACTGCGTACTGGCCCCCAACGTGCGCCTGGGTCTGTGGGGACAGTCGGCCCGAAGGGTCCCTCCCTCGCCGCCTCTCAGACACGGGAGCAACCTTTCACTCTCTGCTGCATGTAGCGGAATGCACGGCAAGGTCCTGTCCTCTCTGAGCCTCTGCGTTCCTGGCTGTCGCTGGGGTAAGAATGAATGTGGCCTCTGTAAGGTTATTGGGAGAATAGAGAGGGGTGAAGCCTGAGGGGCCTGATGGCAGTGGGGTGGCGACGCATGGCTGCGATGCTGGACCTCACGCGATGGCCCTGGTTTGTACCCGGGGCCTCCCTGTGCTGGCCGGGCTGGCGGAGGCTGGGGGTAGGTAGCGGCATCGAGACCTTATGGGATGCCTATGTCTCTGTCTTGCTCTAACGAAATAAATACATGAACGTGAAACATTTCAAAATGCTTGGCACTTGGCACTGCTCGGTAGACAGTGTCTTCCACTCCCTGGAGGGTATTCTTCAGCTAAGAGGTGCTGTCCTGCCCCCTTGTCCCCAAGGGAGCCTCACCATCCAGCGGAGCCACAGGCTGGTCTCACTGGCTGTGCGCAGGGTCACGTTGGCCGGGGCCATGTCAGGGGGCGCCTGGAGGGTCTGGATCTTTCTTGAAGGCTGGCTGGGTGGGCTGGTGCCTACGATGTTCACCTGGCGCATGCGGAAGCTGGGATGGGGGCAAGGGGACAAGCACGAAGGTGAAGGAGCACCCCAGAGCCAAACTCTGCCCCGGATAGCTGCCCTGGCCCTGGCTGCGACCCCTGCCCCCGTCGTGTTACCTGTAGTAGGTGAAGGGGTTGAGGTCGGGCACCTCCATGGAGCGGGCATCAGGCTCGTTGGCCAGCTGGTGAATCAGCAGCCACTCCTCTCCTTCCCCAATCACGCCCACCTGGAAAGGGAGGCACCTCAGAGCTGTCCAGCCTACTGCCTGGGGCTGCAGTGCCCCGAGCCCTGGCTCCTGGAAGGCACCAAATGGGGCCACCGTCTGTCCTGGCCCCTACACACGACTCTGAGATGTCCTGTTACCAAGGAAAGGGAACAACACCCCAAGGGGCAGCCCCCTGGAATTTGTGCTCCCCCCCCTTCAAATTTTGGCGTAAGGTGTATGTTCCCACTGGAGAGAGACAGACAGAGACAGAGAGAGGGAAAGTGAGAAATTATCCCCACAGGGGGCCTGGCCATGCCACAGTCCTTCCTCCTCCATTCTCCTCGGGATTCTGGGCATGCACACACATGTGCCCACTGTAATTTTCAAGCCGCCAGGTTCAGGGCTTGAACCATAGAGTCACCTCTGTGAGATCCAGCTGCCTAACCTCCATGCCACCTGCTGGCCCGGAACTTGTGCTTCCATCAAGCTCCCCAGCTGATTCTCCCAAACACTCTGGGGTGCTTCCAAAAGCCAGTTTGCCTTAGACCGGCTAAGTCAGAATCGCCCTCCCAGGGCGGGGATGAAACTGCCCCCTTGAGCTGCACCAAGAGCCTCTGATCACTCTCCCGATGGCTCAGGGTATGACCAGGCCAGAGCATGGAGTCTAAAGCCTGGAGCAGCAGCTGGTTATTTTTCCAGCCAGTCAGTCATGGCCTGAACCTGGGAAGGACTGCTGTGCAGGGGTCTCCAGGTGCCCAGGTGAGGTGGAGGGGCGACGGTACTGGCAACTATGGGCACCTTAGGCACATTCGGCCGCCCATGGCCACACAGACGGATATGCACACTGACTCCTCTCGCGAGCTCGGGGCTGCTCCCAGCGGGCCTCACCTGCGCCCCCACCACAAGCACGAAGGTGAAGGAGCACCCCAGAGCCAAACTCTGCCCCGGATAGCTGCCCTGGCCCTGGCTGCGACCCCTGCCCCCGTCGTGTTACCTGTAGTAGGTGAAGGGGTTGAGGTCGGGCACCTCCATGGAGCGGGCATCAGGCTCGTTGGCCAGCTGGTGAATCAGCAGCCACTCCTCTCCTTCCCCAATCACGCCCACCTGGAAAGGGAGGCACCTCAGAGCTGTCCAGCCTACTGCCTGGGGCTGCAGTGCCCCGAGCCCTGGCTCCTGGAAGGCACCAAATGGGGCCACCGTCTGTCCTGGCCCCTACACACGACTCTGAGATGTCCTGTTACCAAGGAAAGGGAACAACACCCCAAGGGGCAGCCCCCTGGAATTTGTGCTCCCCCCCCTTCAAATTTTGGCGTAAGGTGTATGTTCCCACTGGAGAGAGACAGACAGAGACAGAGAGAGGGAAAGTGAGAAATTATCCCCACAGGGGGCCTGGCCATGCCACAGTCCTTCCTCCTCCATTCTCCTCGGGATTCTGGGCATGCACACACATGTGCCCACTGTAATTTTCAAGCCGCCAGGTTCAGGGCTTGAACCATAGAGTCACCTCTGTGAGATCCAGCTGCCTAACCTCCATGCCACCTGCTGGCCCGGAACTTGTGCTTCCATCAAGCTCCCCAGCTGATTCTCCCAAACACTCTGGGGTGCTTCCAAAAGCCAGTTTGCCTTAGACCGGCTAAGTCAGAATCGCCCTCCCAGGGCGGGGATGAAACTGCCCCCTTGAGCTGCACCAAGAGCCTCTGATCACTCTCCCGATGGCTCAGGGTATGACCAGGCCAGAGCATGGAGTCTAAAGCCTGGAGCAGCAGCTGGTTATTTTTCCAGCCAGTCAGTCATGGCCTGAACCTGGGAAGGACTGCTGTGCAGGGGTCTCCAGGTGCCCAGGTGAGGTGGAGGGGCGACGGTACTGGCAACTATGGGCACCTTAGGCACATTCGGCCGCCCATGGCCACACAGACGGATATGCACACTGACTCCTCTCGCGAGCTCGGGGCTGCTCCCAGCGGGCCTCACCTGCGCCTCCACCAGCCAGCGGGAGATGGAGGTCTTCCCATCGTAGCCCGGCCTGAACTGCAAGGTCACGGAGCGGGGGCCGATGTTGGAGATACCCAGGTTGGTGGGCGCCCCTGGGAGTTCTGGAAAACAACGGGGTGAGGAAGGAGATGGGGTGAGACTATCCCTTCACATGGAATAGGACTCCAGAGCGCACAGGAAACATCCCGGAAACATCCCAGAGGTCGCTCAAGCCTCATCCCCCCGTCTTATTCCGTATCTTACAGCACACCAGGTTCGCCCCAGAAGGCTGAGTGGAACTCGGGGCTGGTGGGCCTTCCAGAGCCAAGAGGAGGCTCCTGGGGTCAGGAAATGGCCCAGTATGCAAGAGGCTTCCTCCCGGAGGTTTTGGTGTCAGTAAGGAGATGCTCAGGAGGAGGCTGGAGGCTGCACAGAGCCGAGCTGGGCTCACAAAGAAACTTAATGGGATCAGCCCTCCCCTCTTCCACCCCAGTAACCGCTGAGGATGACAAGGAGGCCTGGTGGGGACAGGCGGCAGCTTCTAACTTCCCGCCAGGGACCCTGGGGCTCCTAGGGCCCCAGATGACCAGAAAGAGCTAAGCGGTCTCAGTTTGAATTCAGCTCACCACCTACAGGCTGTGTGTCTCTGGGCAAGTTAGCTACCTCTCTGTGCCTCGGTGTCCCCAGAACCGCGATGATCAGGCCAAGGCCTACCTCAGGGCTGCTGTGAGGGTGAACTGGGCTGATGTATGTAAAGTTCTCGGCCCCACGTGGGGAGCACTGCATAAGTATCTGTCAGCATGGCTGCCACTGCCTCTGCGGCCACCCGGGGCCCAGGGAACTCAGCCATTCAGTGGGCAGAGCACACACAGCCCTATGGATCTGAACAGGACCGCGTGGTAATCTGGTCCACCTCCCCTATATACTGCTAGGGAGACTGAGGCACAGAGGGGACAGGCTTGTCCAGGCCGCAGGGCGTGGCAGAGGCCATACTGAGCAAGCACCTCTGTTGGCTCTTTTTCTTTGAAAGGTTTTTGTCATAGGGCTCATACACTCGCCAGAGGGAGACAGAGAGAAAGTGAGAAGCCACATGACAATCCCTTCTCTTCCATTCTCCTCCCGGGATCTTGGGCATGCATCACATACGTCTGGTGTGAGTTTCAAGCCACCAGGCCCAGGACTCGAACCGCAGTAGGCCAGGTGGGGTTCTAGCACCTTAACCACCATGCCACCTGTTGCCCCCTCTGCTTGCTTTACACTGCAGGCCGAAGGCTATTCCCTGTGGGTCTGGCTGCCTCTCCAGGGTAGGGATCCGGGGTTGGGTCCAGTTTGGACTTTGCGGTGACAGTGAGAATCCCTTCCCCGAGTCATAGATGCCATTGCCTGGTTGGAGCCTGGTGTGGGATGGGGGCAGGGGAAGCAGGGGGGTCAGGGAGACAAGGGTGGGGTCTCCTAAGGCTGATGCTCATCTGGAGCCATGGAAGGATGCAGCAGCCAGCCCACGGGGCCTCCTTCCCAAGCCCCGTCACCTGGAATTAGGCCTGCTGGGGGTGGGGGACGCAAGGGAGGGGATCTCTGTGGGATGAGAGCCCACGTACCCCCCACGGGGTCTGCACAGGGGCCCAGGGTAGGGGTCCTGCCCCGAGAGTGGGTGCCTACCTGGAGGCACCCCCGACGAGATGGTCGAGGCGGACACCTGGCCCTGGCCCTTGGAGGTCATGGCGGCCACCTCGATGGTGTAGGTGGTGAGCGCGGTGAGGCCCGTCACGCGGTACTCCAGGGTCACGTTGGGGAGGTAGTGAGTCACACGGGTGTTGGTCCGGTTGTACTCCTCCCAGGAGATGCGGTACCCTGGGGGCACCCCCAAAAGCCACGTGAGCTTGGCTCCCCAGGGTTGGTCCTGACCATGGGCTCTACTTCTCACGTCGTCACCAGGCCTGGTGAGCTCCATAAGCCAGGGAGCGATGGGCCAGGGTGGGCAGGGGAGGCAGCTGCTGGCACTGGGAGGAGTGACCTGGGCTGGGTGCATGCGGGGTGGGCTCACAGGGGAGAGCGTGTGGCACTGTGGTGGCCACTCGGGTCTGTGGCTGCAGACTCAGGGACGTGTGAGGTCTGGAGGGGTCTGGGAGGGCTCGGCACGCACGGTGCTGGCAGGCTGCACCCCGTCCTCCCGCCCTGTGCCCCCCACCCAGCTCAGACACACGAGGCACCCACCTGTGAGGATGCCGTTCTTCTCGCCCGGCTCTTGCCAGCTGACCTTCAGTGAGGTGTCCAGGATATCATTGAAGCTCAAGTGTCCCACAGGACCGGGCACTGTACCCAAAAAGGGTCCCCACCCCACCCAAGGCCAGTTAGAACCAGGGAGAAACCACTGTCCGCAAGCTAGCCCGCGCCGGCCCAGGGTGCGCCAGTATGGAGACAAGGCCCAGGCCGCCTTCTGCGGAGAGGGAGGGTGGGCCGAGAGCCGGGGTGGGGAGCTGTGCCTACCATCCTCGTGGGTGCGCACCAGCTGGGGGGTGCTGCGTGGCCCATCCCCAGGGGTGGTGAAACACAGCACCGAGGTGAAGTACTCCGTGAACTTCTTCAGGCCAGACACGAAGCCCACGTGGACGCTGTCTTGAAAGTTGGGCCGGGCGGTCACCATTGTAACTTCCTCTTCCAGCTCCGGCTCCCAGGCGATCAGCTGAGGTGAAGACAGTTATTCAGGAGGGCAGCTGGAATGTTCCAGGAGGGCCACGCCTTTCCCCGCAGGCTGGGCCATCAGACAGTGTCCAGGAGCCCAGGGAGGGAAGAGGCAGTGCAGGCGACTCAGGCCCCTGGGACCTGGTCCTGCGGGATCTCACTCTGGTGTGCCGTGCCGCCTCACTGTGGAGCCCCGATCTGGGCCTCATACTCACCGCACTGGCAGCTTCTCAGATCATCTCACTGTGGTCTCACGGAGGAGGCATTTTACCAGGACTGGCTGCAGCCCAGGGCATCATGAAAACGGGAGGACGCTCCCTTTGTTCCAACATTACTGGGCCAGCCAGTGGTGTGGTGGTTAAGGTAGCTGGATCCCACATGGCTGACTGCTCACTTCAAGTCCCAGACACAGTGGCTTGAAAATCATACTGGGTGCATTTGTGTGGGTGCCCGAAATACCAGAGGAGAATGGAGGAGAAGGGATTGTGACCACCCCTGGGGCGTGCTTTCTCTTTTCTTCTCTCTCTTTCTCCAGTGAGTACACATCCCCTTTAGCAAATTAAAACAAACAAACAAACAAAAAAACCCAAAAAACAAACAAACAAAAAAAACGTGTTAAGGATTTTGGACCAGCTCTGTGGCACAGTGGTGATGTGCTGCTGCTCAGGAGAGGCCGGTCCTCCTTGGCGACTGTGGTTCAATTCCCTGGCAAGGTCTACCTGAAAACACACTGGGCACTTGCATGAGTGCCCAAGATCTGATGGGCTGGAGGGAGGGGATCACAGCAAAACCAGACCCTGTGGAGGATGCTCTGTCCTGCCCGCCCCTCTCCTGTGTGCATGCACACGTGCTATTATGAATTTTTAAAAAATGAAGAATTTCAAGATGACAGTAGCATCTACCTAACCATGGGCCCTTCTAACTGTGGAGCCCTGAGTGACTGCACAGGTTGCTAATAGCGTAATTAATTCCCACAGCTAGCTCTGGATTTTACAGATGAGGAAACAGAGGCTCAGAGAGGCCGAGTGACTTCCACGACATCACACAGCAGGGAGAGGCCGAGGTTCTGATTCCAATCCTGAGCTCTCACACTTTTCTCCATATGGGCGGGGGTAGCTTCCCCTTGGGGTTCTCCAAGGGCCACTTCCTACCTATCCTGTCTTCCTGTCCTCTCACGCTTGCTCCAAGCTGAGATTTTGATCGACATCTCCTGGAGGTGAGTGTCGGCAATAAACCTCCATCTGGAGATCTGCGGCTCCCTCTCACCCCCTCGCCTCCCCTCTGCGTTGTCCGCCTGTTCGCTGTCTAAGCCTCCTGCCTCCCCTCCTCCTTGTCCTGCTTCCTGTTCTCTCACCTCGCGCTCCTGTTCTCCGGGCCCTTCATCTGTCTCCAGCAATGACAGCTGGTCTCAGAGATTCCTCATTTATTTGAAGTTGATTAAATAGCAATTAATGGTGAAAAGCAACACTTGATGTGTTTTAATAAGCACGGGTATTTATAGATATAAGACAATACCATGCCCATGTCTCCTGATTAACTCACGCCTATAACAATGCTTAATCTTCTCCTTTTCATGGTCCTGTGTTTAGAAAGAATGTTTTGAAATTTAATTGGTATTGTGAAAAGATAGCCTATAGCAAGTTAATTAGACACTAATTAGACCCTAAAAATACTAATCAGAAATAGTAAGTGGCATTTAATAAGTATGTTAAATATCCTCCTTATTTCGGTTATCTTGTTTCATAGCAATTAAATTGTTGAACTTCTTTGGAGTAGATTAAAAAACAAGTTTAATGTTTTAATTTAATTTAATTAATGTAAATTTGAATTAATTATGCTGTTAGAATTAATTGTGTGGTGTGTTCCCCAGCAAGTGTAAGACCCGGGTAAATATTTTACTGGGTTCAGGCCAATTACGATCACTACAATTGTTTGAAAAACAGAGGGAGAAGAGGGTCTTTACGGGTACCTTGAAAGAATGTCCCTGGGCTTTGCCCACAGAAATGGCCCAGAAGTTCACGGGGTGATGGGAGTGCGGTTTCATGGAGGATAACTGACTTCACTATCCTTCACTATCCTACAGTTCCACTCCTCAGAGCCAAGATGGCGGCAGGGCCGTGGCTCCCCCACGTGGCTGTTCAACACGTGTGAGATGTGAGATGCATGTCCGCCAGCTGCCTGTGAACTGGAGGCAGCTTAGGGATAAGAGGGCTCCTCCTCCTCTGGGCCAGAGAGAGAGCAGGACTGTCATGGCTCTCTTATGGCCCTGAAGGACTTGGGGTACCTCCTTGTTGGACCCTTCTCCGTCCCTGGTGCTGGGCTAAGCCACCATGACGATTTGATGGGGACCACTGTCCTGTGATGTTACGAAGGAGCCTGAGGGCCAACTCAGTGGGCAGTGGGGACACACAGCTCAGGGGATGCTGGGTCCATAGGGAAGACCGTGATCTCAGCTAGCTGGGAAGGCTTGGGGGATGGCGGAATGAGACTCTGAAGAGGGTGCTCTCGATCTCTGTCTCCTTCATTCTCATGGAAGAAAGAAATACACTTATAAAAAGGAAAATGAGGTTCAAGAAGGTTGAGTGGCTTCATGTGGACCCAGCAGGAGCGGGATCCAGGTGTGCGGATCCAGGGACTTTCGAAGATGACCTCTGTCTCCCGGGGGTGCACACAGCACCCTGAGTGTTTGAGTGGTTCTGAGACAGCTCTGTGCCTTCTCCCTGTTAGCTGGGCCATTGTGGGGGTAACAGTGTGAGATGGGGCCAGCCTGTTGTGGGGGGTATCCCACATGGCAGACCATGTGGTTTGACCTGGCAGCCTGAAAACACATGCTGGACATGTGTGTGTGTGTGTGTGTGTGTGTGTGTGTGTGTGCCCAAGGTCCCGAAAGGAGAACATGGAGGATTACAGCGTGACTGTCCTCCATGCGGTTGGGGGGTGCTTTCTCACGCCCCACCCCCTTTCTCTGGCGAGTACACACGCCCTCTAGCAAGTTGAAAACAAACACAAAAAGGGTGCATATGCCCTCTAGTTACTGGTGGCCTAGTGGTTAAGGTGCTGGACTCCCACAAGGCCCACTGCGGTTTGAGGCTTGAAACTCACTCTGGACACGTGTACATGCATGCCTAAAATCTCAGGAGAAGAAGGGAGGAGGAGGGATTGCAGTGCGGTCATCCCCCCTGAGGGGTGATTTCTTGCTTCTATCTGTCCGTCTCGCTCTGTTTCTCCAGTGAGTGCACACGCCCTATAGCAAAAATCTCTAACAAAAAAACAACAGTAGGGAGACTTCTCTCTCTTTCCCCCCTACCTTTCTCTCTCCGCACTTGCACCAAGCTCCCATGAAGCAACTGGAAGGGTGCATAGAAAACCAGTCATAGTGGTTAGAGGGGGGAGAGTTTACAGAGGAGAACCAGGCGGACAGCGGCTGCCAGTGGGAGAGGGCCTTTCTTTTATCTCTTTATTTATTGTTACATTAAAGCATATTTTGAATCCCATGAGTAGATTTGCTACTTAAAAATGTCCGCAGAAACCGAATGTAGTGTTTGACAGCAGGAGCAACATGATCTAGGCATGTACCCTGTCACCCAATCATCTCCTTCCTAGAAATCGGTCCCAAAGCGATACTGTGAAAAGAGCAGGAGGTGTACACAAAGCAATTCACTGCAGAGAGCCTGGGGATAGTGAAAGCCTGGAAATGACCGCAGTGTCATCGCTAGGGAGACTGCTTGATCCAAATGTCAAAAGGGACAAAGCAGGGACCAGCAGTTAGCGTAATGGCTATGTCGCTGGACTCCCACGTAGTCGACTGCGGTTCAAGTCCCGGACCCGGTGGCTTAAACTCACGCCAGGCGCGTGTACGTGCGTGCCCAAGATCCTGAGAGGAGAATGGAGGAGAAGGGATTGTGGTGTGGCCATCCCCCCTGGGGGGTGATTTCTTGCTTTCTGTCTCTCTGTCTCTCTCTGTCTTTCTGGAGAGTGCACCTATAGCAAAAAAACAAAAAAAACAAAAAACCTCTCCAAAAAGAAAAAAAAAAGGGACAAAGTGCAACTTTGCACACTCCTGTGGAGTGAGCACCCTGATATATGGTAAATGAGGATGATAATAAAAACGAGATGGGGACAAGTACAGAGCATAGGGTGTCACTTATCTAAGCAGGACAGGCGACGTGTTTCCATGTGCCTGGACTTGCTTACTAAAGAGAACAGACGAACAACCCAACTAACACAAAGCAATCCAACCTCCTGGGGGGCGGGAGGACCAGGACGGAGGCCGATTTTCTTGGAATTTGCTTTGCGAATTCGGCTTTGGAGTCTTGTAAATATTCTACATAATTATAGAACAAAATTAAATGAAAGAAATCAATCCCTAAAAATCGAAAACAAAATGAAGCAAATGAACCGCATAGACTATTGAGCTGTGGCAACATTACACAGAGAGGAGTTACGTCAGAAGACCGGGGAGCAGAGCAATGTGAAACGCACCCCTAGCGGGATTTACCCTAAGAACAGGAAGACTTGCAAGTCGTCTGAAGCTATTCGCCGTCACCAGGGCTGATACCCCCATTCTGCAACCACTGTGTGTTGGTGGCGTAGGAACTGGATGTTCGGTGTGGAGAGAAGAGATACAGGCAAAAGACTAATGAGATTAATAAAAAAACTGGTAGTTATGACATTGAATGGGAAGGATCAGTACGTATTTGATTAGAAAAGATCCCTAAATGTCTTTTAATAGGACACAGAAACAAGCACCGTTCTTGGGGCACGAACACCTCCAGTGCCCAGACTGTGGTGGCTCACTACCACCTCCTACTGAAAGGGTCAGAGCTCCCTAGAGAGCTGGCCCAGCACGGAGCAGGACACCACACGGCAGTAACGTCCTGTTGTAGCAGCTGGTGGAGAGGCTATCGAAGACGACTGGGCCCGCGTCAGAAGGTCTCAGGAGGTAAGTTTAAGAGGCCAATGGTGGGCCAATTTTATGACTGTTGACTAAAACATTGCTGC